TTCATAAATAAAGATGAAATGAAAGTGACAGTATTTTACACAACATTAGATAAACTAATAAATGGTATTCATTCTAGATTTAACTAAGAATCATTACAAATTATCGATTCAATTGGAAATTTGGTGAAATTAAAAACTGATGGAAATATATCATATAAATGTTTAAAAGAACAATTTGATATACGTGAAGATGATTTGTGCACAGAAATAAAATTATTACAAAATATGCCAGATATTCCAAATGGTACTTTACTTCAAACAATTCATGAATGATTAGATTGGTTGCAAGATTCTAATAAAATTGAAATTTTTTCAAACTTTTCTAAAGCTATACAATTATTTGTAACTATACCTGTTACAAGTTGCAGTTGTGAACGCAGTTTCTCGAAAATGACTATTGTTAAAAATAAACTTCGAACAACAAATGACCCAAAAAAGATTGGATTCACTGATGTTATTATTTGTTGAACAGCATAAAACAAACAATGTGGATATTAACGAAGTCATCGACGAATTTAAAATACTAAATGGCACAACACGTAGAATGGTATTATAACTTATAATTATAGCAATTTTTTTTTTTTTTTTAATTACTTGAAAATAAATAATATAAAAAAAATTTCAATTAGGAAAATTGAATGAAATTTGTATATATATATATATTTTATTTGTGTGTGTGTGGTATAGGAATGTGTATGTCTTATGTGTAAATTAGAAGTGCTGCACTTGAAATAAAATTCTGGGACCGCCTATGTCGATAAGAAACCATTCATTAATTATAATTGTATATAATTGTAGCTTGTACTGTAGTATTTTATTTTTATAGTTTCTAGGTATTCAGGTATTCCGGTATCATTATCTAGATATTCTGATATCATAATTTTCAGATTATTTAGATTATTTTTCATTAACATTTTGCAGTAGTTTCCGATTTTTTGTACTGTATGCCTGCTAGTCCATTTCGTGAATTCAGTATCTAATTTTTTTTTTTTTTTAATAATAGAAGCCAAAATAATAAAATAATATAATAAATTATAATAATAAAATAATAATTTTTGTATACAAACGTTTTTTTTTGTATATTTTAGTAGTTCTAGTGCATATTTAAGTGCTTATAACATCCTTTTTTAGAGCTATAAGTTATGAGCCCTAGTTATAACACTATTGTGTGCTCAATATTATGTCCATAAACGGTGTTAATATAATTTATACCGTATCCAAATATGCGCGATCGATCAGGTTTTAATAGATTTGTTTTAACTACTCTCGGTTGAACTCGCGGGTTAAAATATTTCTTGATTCCCGGTTGAACTATGTCCGTTTATTGCGATTATAACAATTTGATCGATAACAAAATGGTATACGTTTGTTTATGTATGCAGTTATATTAATAATGTCTCGTTTTGGTCAACATTTCCCAATTCATACGGTCAATAACGTGATTCGCTGAAAAAACCACCACGATCACCACATTCGTAAGCAAATAACGTCAATACTTCGACGATTATCGTTATTTCTTAAATTCGACCCATAACTTAAGCATTAACAATTGAACGTATTTTCGTGCATTCGATACGTTTCCGATGTAGCAAATAGAACCGTTTAGAATTGAACCGTTTTAAGTCCTGGTCACGCTTCTCATCTCAATACCAACTATTTAATAATCGATAAAAGTCTAACATTAAACGTAGCAAAAATTGGCCGATTCTCTGGCTGTGCGCGTAACGTCCGCAAGAGGGTACACCGCAACGATTTGACAGACGGTGTATCAGACTGAACGGAACGACAGATGTGACCGGCCGTTTGCTCGGAGTTGCTGAGATGGGACGAGATCCGAGCAAGACGTTTTAATTAATTTATATGAATGATGCTGCTGCGGGGAAATGAAAAAAAAAATAATAACTAAACAAAATATACCATTAGTTTATATTGATTTAACGAAATTTTGGTCATACTCGTGCACCGCATTACTTTCATGAAAAACTACTAGTCGTGTTAAATCAATTGGCATTGGCCAAAATGTGAATGCATGACTCTTGTTACCGATATTACAGGTACAATGTTACGTGCCAACCGTTTGATCCGTTAACTCAGTTACAACGTCTCAGTCAACGCTTGTGTGTCACAAGGAGAAATGGTGTCGCGTGTGGTAATCTGTATGGTCGTTTATATATCGGTGTTTGGTTATCATTTAATTTAATTTCATGCATTGCGGCATTCGTACAAGTTAATTTATCTCCCTCTAAATGAAATATTTCAGAATATTGTTCGCAAATTTTATCTATGGATTGTCTTTCCTCATCGTTCATGTGGTCAGATCTTATCTGCTTTTTTATACGAAGTATCCGGTCTTTATTATTACGGTTTTCATTATCGGTATTAAATTTATATATATTATATTCCGATGATTCATCATACTCTATTTTATTTAAATCATTTAATTTTATTATTTGCTTATCTTCGGAAATATTTAATATACTCACTACAATTTTACCATTTTTTACTGTCCCTATTACATTACTACAATATACATCCTTAATAAATTCTTGTTTATGCAAAATTATATTTTTATTCTCTACACTTTTATCTAATATCGGTAATTCTACAATAGTTTCTGTTCTCGGATTTAATGAAATATATTCTATATTATTATCTTTATTCGCAATCTTACTTTCGTTATTAATAATCATTGTTTTATTACATATGTCAATTATCGCTTTATTCTCAGATAAAAACCTATGACCTAATATACCGTCCTTTGGTATCGGAAATTCTGCTTTTACTACATTAAATTCTACATTAAATTTATCATTATTAATTCCTATTACTAAATTTATAGTTCCTATCGTTTCAATTTTTGTTTCATTTATTCCTTTTAAATATAACTTATTATTTTCATTTATTATTAAATCCTTTCTTAATTTATTTATTTTTATAACATTTACATCGCTACCCGTATCTATAAGTAACTCTAAAGTTTTCGTATTACTAAATTCAGAAGTGCATATTATATGATTTTCCGTCATTATTGATATAACATGGAAGCAGTTTCGGTTTGTTCCGCGGTCGATATATGATTTATCGTACGTGTACCGCGTACCGCGCACGACTCGCTCGCGTTTTCCGAATTTACGTTATTATCATCGTTATTAATATTATTCTGTCTATCGTTAAACATTTTTTTATAGCATTCATTTATATTATGTCCGTTGTTATTACAATATTCACATGAAATATACCTCATATTATAACTAGTAGATGGTCGTGTAAAATTATTCTGATTAGGTGGTCGAGTATTATGCGTAAAGTTACGTTTATTTGTGCACTGGTTAGCGAAATGATTTCCGTTGCAAATATAACATTTTATCGGTCTTTGCGGCTGATTTATATTATTATTATTATTAGTATTAAAATTTGGTCGCGCGAAATTATTATTTGGATTTGTGTTACTTCTAAAATTTTGATTATTAAAATTATTTCTGAAATTTGGTCTTTGTCCATTATTATTATTATTATTAAATTTCCTGAAATTATTCTGATTGTTTGCATTAGATGAATTATTATTATAATTTCGGTTATTAAAATTTCGATTTTTATTTGGATTTTGATTAAATTCATAACTAGACTTATATTCGATTTCTTCTGAACGCGCTAACTGTTTAGCTTCCTCCAACGTATTTGGATTTCTCGCTTTTACAATGGTACGTATCGGACCTATTAAACCTTTTATGTATACTACTAAAGTTTGTTCTTTTATTGTATCGTGAATAATTCTAGCCTCTTTTTCATCTTTATTTGCAGTGCTCATATCACTTAACTTATAAAATAATTTTTCTACGCGATTTGTATAAGTATTTACGTCTTCCCCTTGAAGCATTTTAATAGAATTTAATTCTATTTGTAAAGCTGAAGCGGAATGTTGTGCCTCAAATGTATCGGTTAAATATTTTTTTATGTTTTTCCATTTAGTTGTATCTTTATATTTAATTGCTTCTAGAGCCCTACCACTTAATCTAGTTGTTATGTATTTTATTAAAATCGGTACATTTTTCTTTTCTACGGACTCTATAGCTAAATCACATGCCTGAATAAACTGATAAACATCATCTTCTCCCGTACTTTTTGGTATTAATTTAACTGCCTCTTCCAATTTTAATGTTACTATATCGCTATTCATTTTTCTTCTAGATTTTACTTCAAATTTTAATTCCTCAAATTCGGTATTACGACTACTTCGAGTTCTACGATGCTCGCTCTGTGTTCCTACGTTTAATAATTTTTTAGTGTGTTCATCAATATTTTCCTCTTTTACAAAACTTTTGTCAAGATCTTCCACACTACCTTCACTTTCACTTTTTTCCCTATACACCGAATTAGCTACTTTCGATGGAGACGAGTCCGGACTGCTATGCTTACTCATAAAAATTCTTTACCCATTAACTTTTAATTCTCAATAATTCAATAATATTTTCAATAATTCAATAATAATAATCTCAATAATTCAACAATAATAATTTCAATAAATTCTTTCAATAATAAATCTTCAATAATAATCTCAATAATAATCTCTTTAAATAATTTTTAGTATTATTCCTTTTTATAATAACTCCAACAAAATAATATTTTTCCCTACCGTATTGAGCCTCTGGCCAGATAAACTCAATAAATTTCACAATAATAATTCTCAATATAACTTCAATATAAACTCAATATAAACTCAATATAATTTCAATATAACTTCAATATAATCACAATATAATTTCAATATAATCTCAATATAATCTCGGGATCCCCTTTAATAATTCAATAATTCAATAATAACTCAATAATAATTCAATAATAATTCTCAATAATAATTCTCAATAATAATTTTCAATAATAATTTGGGTATTTAGTTAGAATTTTTAGGTGTCTGGTTTTTTTATGAACATAGAATGTTTTCGTTTCTTTTATAAAATTGTATCTTAAAATAATATGGTTATTACAAAATATATGCTTACAAACAATTGTTGATTGAAGACATGTTGTTGACTGAATGATCCGGTGGAGTATCAGCTATTCAATGGAAGTTGAGAAGTTGAAGGACTGCAAGTTGTTCAGCTCCTCGATGGTTCCGATGTGGAATTGCCTTCTATTGAATATCCTACCGACTGCGCCAATTTTTGTTACGTGCCAACCGTTTGATCCGTTAACTCAGTTACAACGTCTCAGTCAACGCTTGTGTGGAAGTGTAGTCAGGAATAATTAAGACTTCTTTTTAAAATAATTAAATTTATTTAACTTATAAAAATTATTCTAACTACAAATTTTGTAAATATTCTAGTGATAGAAATTATTTAAGTCCTAACAATTGTACTTATAAAATAATTGGAAATATTTCTAAGTCCAGACCATAACATACACTGACGTGAAGGTGCTCAGTGCAGCATAGACAAGACTCGTCTGATTTGCCCTTGTTTTCGGGTCCCTTTTATATGTGATATTGTATGTGTGTGTGTAAAATCCCAAGTGTGTGTGTGTAAATGAATAAGATAATAAAATAAGATAATTCCTATAAATTGTGAGTGTGTGTGTGCGTTAATGATAATAAAATATGATAATTTCTTATTGATTTTGCATGTGTGTGTATTACATAATTACTGATGCAGGGATACAGGATGTGGTCAACCACCCACGTATCTGTGACTCCAATATTCATATTCTTATTTAAACAGATAACCATGTGAACGATTTAACTTATTCACACGCCCAGTTTCGATGTTCATGAGAACCTCTTATAATGTGTGTTTTTATATTATGTGACTACGCAATACGCGACAACAACAACAGTAAAGGAATCATCTCGCCTTTTTGTTGCCTCGAGATCGATTAGCTCGCAGTAATAATCGACGGCTAACAAGCGTAAGCGTGGCAAAATCGAAACGTTTCGACTTAAGGTTTGAGATTAGACTTTGATACGCTATAAGTGTTGTTTTGGGTGTAAAATCGCAAAAACACTCGGAATACACGATGCGCTATATATGGCCGGCTCGTCAGAGAGTTCATCGCTCTCTTAATATTATAATCATTGATTTTAGAATTACATACTTAACGTCTCTGTGATCGTTCGCGTTAAATTTGATAAACACAGGTTTTCGACTATAAAATAACAACTATAGTTATCATTCGTGGAATTCGAGGTGAGGGATTTGGGGGGAGACAACTATTAAGTCTTTCTAAACCTCCTCCCCCTTAAAATTTATTGCAAAATTAAACAAAGTTTGTATTTTCATACATATTCTAACAAATTTCAATAAAAAAAAAAATATTTCCTAATTTATATAAAATGTTATATGTAGCACTTAACTAGTTGTTTCACAAATCTGCCTATTTTACACATTGAAAAAGATTTAATAAACAGTATTGAAAGTGAAAGTATTTTAAATTAATTTTCAAAATCCTTAAGGATAATGGTTTTAAAATAGAATATGAAGTATTTGAGAATGTTATTCATACGCCTTCTTTTTATTATTTTTACATTTTTTTTATTCTTAATATCTTATAAACTTATAATATTATCATAATCATTAGATAATAACTATTTTAGTTGAAGATTAAGGATCAATAGAAAAAAAACTTTTAATGTAACATATTATTAAATTTCTGATCTGAAAAAAATATCGGTTAGCTATTTTATTTTTAAGTCATTGATTCAGTACAATTATTTATTGCAATGATTGTTACATTTATTTTAAGAATTATTTAAGGTGGTGGGGATTTTTCCCTACACAGTTTTGATTCATGAGAAAAATCGTAACCCTCAACTATTTCAATGGATTTCCACTCATGATAGTAATAGATTTCTATAGTGTATCATGTATTCTGAAATCAATTATTACTATATGACGCACATCGCGCTCGTCGTGGATATCTCCAGGGGTCCAACGACCAACAATTAATTATATAACCCCCTCCTCTCTTCGGCCGCATTTTTTACCTCAACCGTAATTAAAAATTATATGTTTAACGTTTATGAAAATACATATAATTATCTTTTTTGTTGTTATAGGACTGGACACTACAGATAAAATACGTTCAGCTGCGAGACGCCGGTCTGTATGAGTGTCAGATATCATCACATCCGCCGAAAAGCATTTTTATCAATTTAAAAGTTGTCGGTGAGTACCCATGTCGTCCTCTATTATAATAATATAGTGCACGTGGAAGCAAAATAAAAAAGGGTGGTGAAAATCCTAGGTCGGGTGAGATGCATGAAATAGTTGTATCAGTTTTTTTAAACTTGAACCATTACTATCGAAAAAACAATTTTATGAGAAAAAAGATAAATAGATCTACTTTTATTCCTAAAGATTTTTGATTAGCATAACCAAATTTTTAATTTTGATGAGTTTTACTCTTTATTTTTTATTATCTATAGTAAAAAAAGCATTTAAAATACACCTATAAACAGCAAAAATTACATTAAAATATCTCGAAGTGTCTTTAAAATGCTAATGCGATTATTTCAAGTCGTTCTGATTAATATTTATAGAATATTAACATAATTAATAATATCATGATATTTATTATACTTATTATATTTAATGCATTCAATCGAAATTTCTTGAAGTATTTGATTTTGTCAAAATTTTATTTTGTAACGCTTATAAAACTTTTTTGCGACCTTCTAATGATTTTATTTTTTTGTTACGAAGAAAATGTTATAAAAAATCATATACTTACTCAATTTTCAAGCCTACAAGTAAAAAAATTATAAATTTTATGAACATTGATTACAAAAACATGAGGATTTCCGTTATTTGTTCGTTTTATTAAATTTAATTTTCGAACGCTCATAATCTTTTTTTGCTAATAGGTTAATTTTTTTTAATCAGTACTAGATAATATCTAGTACTTATTAGACACATAACATATTATGTTATGTGTCTAACAAGGAGTTTTTAGTGTATTTTCAAAACTTTTTATCAAACCAAAAATAATTCATTAAAATTTTACGAAAAAAGCTAAGTAAATATTAAATTTTCAAGAATCAATAAATAGATTAAAAAAATGTTATAGAAATTAAACTGTCCATAGAAAACGGTGATATAAGAATTCAGTGAAAATTTCAAGTTTCAATAATTATCATTTTATTAAATAATAATAAAACAAAAAATTTGATGTGTCAAAAACTGGTATGATGTGTCACCATTATTTTCGTCAATTTTTGGTAGTTAAAAAAAATTATTGGACAGTTCATAAAATAATATCATTCAAAGTACCAATCAGACAACATTTACTATCGGAAATTTCTTATGATTGTAATGATCGGCACAATCATTCTGGCCGAAATGTTGTTCGTGGATACAAAAAGTGAAAATAAATTAACAGTGTGTGACAAAATAATAGGTGGTGCGAGTTCAAATGTCAATCTTGGTTGAAGGATTTTGCAATTTTAAATTGAAAAACTGTTGAGATATTTATAAAATGACCCCTTCTAAATACCAACTAGAATACATTTTCCATCTTTTATATTTTATTTGGTGATTGTAGCATTCCTTTCGGTTCAAATTGTGTACATAAACACAAAAATACACATAGGTACATCGTGGTAAAACCAATAAATTTCTTGTTTCAGTCAGAATCTAAAAAAACACAACAGATTTAAATATTTTAATACGCTTACGATGTTCTGAAAATAATTTATATAACAAAATTGGATTTTACTATTATTATTATTATTATTATTATTAATATCATGATAATATTATAATGGACTGTATATAAAAAAAAAGAAAAAAGGAAAATTAATAATTAAATTAAAAATATGATAAATTATAGGAGGCGAACAAGGCGAAATACCTTTTTTTATGTTACGGAAAAAAGATTAATATATTTCAGGTTAGATTACGTTTTTTCAATAATGAACTGTAAAAATATATTTTTTCCACGTCTAAACGAGTGGGGGTATTTGTTGCGTTACGCCGTGAGTTCGGTGAAATCATCGTAGAAGCATAGGCGAACATTGGGGGGCTTAGTTCCCCAAATATTTTAATAGCCCATTCAAAATCGAAACTTTGTTGGATATGTTATTTGTTGTTTTTATAATTATTTGTTCGTTTTTTTGAAAATCGTAAAATAAGAAATAATAAAAATCGATTTGCAATAGCATTAACAATTCCAATTAGTTTGGCTACTTACAAATGAAGTTTCAGTGCAATGAAAAAAATAAAAACTTAGCTGAGGACATCGTTGGTTCATGATAGGTTCTGCGATCTTTCAATACTATATATTGAAAATGATATATCGAAACATATAAAAAGCGATCATATTTTGAATATCTTTGCTAATACAAATAGATATTTATTATTAAAATAGAATATTAATTATTTTTAAATATACGTTATTTAGAGTTTTTTTACAATTTAAACATATCTATATTTTTAATACTTAATAAGTTTTACTTATGCATGAGAAGGGGGCGTGGGGCAAAGCCCCTGTGAGTTAATTTAACATTGAATTATTATAGCCCCCCCAAAAAAAAAAAAATTCAACCAAATATCCGCCTATGTGTAGAACATGACTTATTGTAATTATTTCATAGATATTTTGTAAGAAAATAAAAATTTAAGTATGTTATATTATTGATTATGAAATAGTCTATGCTAAAATCAATGGTTATACGAATACATTATAATACAATTGTTGATTTATTTAATTATTCATATAGAAAAACCAAAAAACCAATAATAAATTTTAATTTATTATACATAGTACATGATTACGGATTTGGTATTACTAGTCTCGTTACTATTACGGAAATACGTATCGAACTGTCAATTAGGGTAGTTTTCGTAATTTTTGACAAGTAATTATTATGTAAATATAATGATCAGAGAAAAAATTTTAAATTCTGTGCAATTACAAATTAGCCATTCTTCGGCACAAACTGATCTTAATATTTCAAAATATTGCAATTGAAAATCAAATAATTGGTTTCATTATTATTGTTTATGTAAGCTTATAGATACCTAAGCGCATCCGATAACTGTTCTGTCCAACTAATTAATTAATTAATTAATATAAATTAGATAATCTTTTCTACGATAACCATTATATTGCAATCGTCTTTCATTACTGTTATAGTACACTTCGTGCAGCCGTATAAATACCTTGATGTAGGGTGAATTGTATTAATACAATAGTCAGTATAATTAGCGCATACGATTATCCTTACTCACTATAACTATGAAACCTAGGTCTAATTTGATTTCCAATGGCGATAATTTGAAATTTTCATAACTGCTATAGTACTGAAGAATCAATATTATGTAATTTTCTAAAAATTGCAATTTCAAATTATTTTCCCGACCGATTAAGAAACCAAAATACAGGTTTGATTATATATACATACGCATACATATAATGTGATCCTTTCGATTAAACTCTACTAAACAAGGAGATTTGAAAATAAATTATTATTTACGATGATTAATTTCATCGGGATATCACGGTGAGACATCCTATACTATATTTCGGGTCAATGTATTTATTTAAATGGGTTTTTCTGCAATATACTATCGCGATAAAGGGTTTTAAATCAATCATATACTCGAGGTGTTTCCGTATTTGTGGTGACATAATTTACGCATATAATAAAAAAAAAAAAATAAAAAATCTAAAGTATCAATTACCGACAATACAATAAATAATAGAAAACATGGAACTTATTACGATTAATGAACTTCCGTTATTAAATGCAGGATTGTAACCTTACTTGCGTCCATAATAAATCCATATTGTTTAAATAATAGTTTTTATAGACGTCGTTTTCTTATTCTGTATAGAGACGATAATATTATATCACAATAATCATGTGTGCTAAATAAACATTCAAATATTTTTCAAAACGTCGTTTTGATAAAGAATCTAACAAAAAGCTTTGCAGTAGATGGGTGGTGCTCCGGTGGTCGCGTGTGTTGTGTACCTCATAAGTAGATATTGCAGTGAAACATCATTAAAGAAAAACGCTTATCTGTAAATGGAAAATATGTTTTTATACATATTTTTTTTTAAAGCTCTACCGATAGTCGATACTCCAGTACATAGGTATAGGATTAGGATTGTCTCTAATTGTTGAATTACAAAAATACAATTTCCATTATGTTAATGTAATATTTTTAATTGGTCGCACGCGTCACGATCGTGTGCTGCATTAGTCACCGGCATTAGTCGCCGTGAATTAGTATAATATTATAAACAGAACACCGAAGTAAAATATATTACCAAACGAATATTCGACTGGCTCGCGTAGCTAAACAGATCATACTTCAAAAGAGTTACGATTTTACAAAACGGACGCGAAAAATATTTATTTTTAAATGGTACACTGTACGATTTACCAGCCCAGTAGAACGTGTGGCGTGGTTAACTAATCGTTGGATAAGTTATGCGGTGTCTAACCTTCTTATTACTGTATTTTACTATACAGTTTTGGCGCGTGTAACGTATTATCGTTTTCTTTTTTCATACCAACTCTCCACGTGAATGTTGTTCCTTGTCCACCGTAGATGTTAATTAAAACAATATCGTTATCGATTTTGCCGTAAACCATTATTTATTTATTTTTTATTTATGTAAAATCAACGGGCCAGAGTTCTTTAACAATTATCTGGGAAGTATCGCAGAAACGAGTATCGCAAAGGTTGATCATTTGGACTCCACGTGGTGATCAATGGTGCTTTTACTGATGATTTTCCGAGTGCTCGAGCCGGTACAGGCGGAACCTTCGGTCGACTAAAATCGTATTGCTATAAATACGAAGAGATGAAACTCGTTGTTGACTAATATAAACTTACTGGCGACCGTATCCCGAGTTATGATGACCTCGTGACCATCATCTCTAGCCGCAGACCGCCGCCATCGATTCCGCTTCGAATCAACTGACCGCATTCGTGGCCATGTACTTACTGAAATCGTCTGTCACCGTTATGACGGTATTACGTCCTAATCAACGGATTTGAGTGCGGGTGGTGTGGTATCGCTTAGAAAACGTGTGCTGCGTCCGAAATACTTTTCTTCCGGACAAAACGTGTCTTAACAATTACTTCGATTTCCACACCAAAGAAAGATCTAATATATGTGTAAATTTCGACAGAAAAACAGTAGGAAAAGTATC